GTGAAGATGAATGGGTAAATAAAGCACGGTGTTATTTTGTGTTTCTGGCGCAAGAATGATCGACAATATTTTGAATAATTCAGGTAAGGATGGCTTTATTTCGTTCTCGTATAGTGATGTAGTCGTGCCGTGTGCCCTGTCACCTGTCTGGTGATATATTTTATAATACATGAAGGCATTTATATTTAAATCTGCTGTTTATACTTGTTTAGTCACTTTAGTGTATTAAACTTCGATATAGAGGCATTGAAACAATATGATTTCAAGAATATATCGGCAATTATAATACCCACTGAATCACTGATCTATTCCCAGTAAATCCCGACCAAATCGACAGTAATGATTAATGCCTTTATGCTGATACAAGAAGCAAATGAACTTTTAGTTTATTTGTTTGTTATGTCACTTAATATGTGCAAAGCCAAAGGCGGTGAGTATATAATAGTGTTCGGTACGTTCTATTTCTAAATGTTTATAGTTTAAAAACAAACGCGGGATGTTGTTAAATCAGGCTTAACAAGATTCCTAGAGCTACCCAGTGTGGATTGTTGTCTGCATATATGGACTTATCAGCAATTACATGTAATATAGCATATCAACTTACTTTTGTATAAGATATGACTTGTATAAGGCATCAGTTATATATAAAGCCTATAAACGTGATTCTACTGACATACATTGATATATACATATGGCTGTGTTACCACAATAATGCTCACAACTTCAACTTCTTTCTAACAATATAGTTTTGCATTTCTGACTGTTCTGAGTATGATCTTATTCATTCAGAAATATAAGCATTGCACTGTATTCAATGGCAAGCTATCCTGGATTCCAGAGCCTTCAGTTAATAATAAATTGAAATATCGTGAAGGCTTTGATTCAACGGGAGGATTCTTTGATTAAACTGTGCCAATCACAAAACAGACTGAATTAGCAGTTTTAGTACAGATTTTGGGCGTGTTAACACATTAAGCGCCAGCGCTCTCCCCTTGACGAGTAAAATCGTCTGGCGTTAGACAGAGTAAAATACTCTGGCGTTAGACAGAGTAAAATACTAAAGTAGGGTGCATCAGGGTGCAATGCTACCCAATGGGTTAACTAGACACATGGGCAGATAGATCAGTTAACCCATTAAGCGCCAGCACTCTCCCCTTGACGAGTAAAATCGTCTGGCGTTAGACAGAGTAAAATACTGTTCAAAGTAGGGTGCGTCAGGGTGCAATGCGACCCAATGGGTTAACTAGACACATGGGCAGATAGATCAGTTAACCCATTAAGCGCCAGCACTCTCCCCTTGACGAGTAAAATCGTCTGGCATTAGACAGAGTAAAATACTGTTCAAAGTATGGTGCATCAGGGTGCAATGCGACTCAATGGGTTAATATAGCACATAACATAGGTCATAGATATACAGTTTCAATACAATACAAAATGATTTTGAACAACGTCAACGAAATCATACAAAATGAATTTATGGAATATCAATTAAATGTATTTAAAACAAACATAATTTCAACATCCCAATAAGCAATAACATCCCAGTAAGTATAAATTCAACTATTTTAAATCAATTGTTTGAATAGCGAAATTAAAAGTTGTACGAGTGACAAAATCATTCAATAATATTCACATTTTATCATTTATATTGTGTCAACTATCAAAGTCGCACTGTTAAGTATATTAAAATATACTTTTCATAAGATTAGATGTAAGATATAATTGTACGAAGGTAACTGAGGAACGACAATGTGTAAGACAATAAATCATACATACAGTGAAAAACGCTCTTTTTGTAGCACATCCTATACATGTACATATCGGCAGCATTTTCCTTGCGATAGTAACTCCTAGTAATATTAATAACTTACTGACCGAGAGTGAGGGCAGTACGGGAAAGTATCCAACCGAGGTCTTGCTGTATTGACCGAGCGATAGCGAGGTCAATACAGTAAGACCGAGGTTGGATATTTTCGGTTTTCCCGTATTGCCCGAACGGTTGAGGACAGTAAATTTTTATTATATGGCATTGTACGTTTGCAAAAATGGGGAAAATTTGAAAAAGGTCACGCGAGGACAAAGTACAAAGTCCGAAACATTTGCAAAAAAAAACAATTGTAAAAAATCTTCTCTTGGTTAGTAAAACTACTCTACAGCACTTTTTATATAGAATACTAACACAGTTTGGATAGTATTTCAAGAAAAATACGAGGTATTTCGTCATTGTAATCAAAGACAACAAATATGAAAACAACAAAATTAATAAACAGTATGGACACGTACGTTCTTGGTACGTATTTAGTTCGCTTCATCTCATATCTAATTAACAAGAACAGAAATTTTCAGGGGAAAATTATAAATCTGTGTCTGCTTTAGTTGTATTTTTTATTTAGGATGGTGTCAAATACCTGCTGGCTATCTGCAACTAAAATTTGCAGCTCCGGCTTCACATAGTCAAAACGCAACTATTCCTGACTTCTTTAATAGTTATAAACATTGTAAAATTTACCTTGTAATTTCGACTCTCGCTAACAAAAACGTATTGAGAAAGTTCTTTAACCACAGCAGTTGCTTCTTTTCTTTATTTTAGGTTTATTTTTCTTTGTTTTGAATAGTTTGAAAGACTTTTAGACAATTTTTGTCGTTTGAAACTCGGCTCTTGCCTATTGCGTATTGCCCATGGGCAATACCAGAAAATCGTGCCTCGTCAGCAGCCAATCAAATTGCGCGATTCATCAAAACAAATGCTTGCCATATAATAATACCTATTAGTATAAATTTTGCATATCAAATGAGCTTTCGCGCGTTCGGATTGGCTAGTTGACTAGTAAATCTGAGGCATTTAAAGCCGAAGACTATTTATATGTTGGCACCTCGGGTTTTAGCTTTATAGCCAAAAATTTGGGAACTACATATATCAACTAGATATTTACCTCCTCATGTGTGTATCTTGTGTATTGAGCAATTCAAATTCATACATCAGTCCCGCTCTTCCCTGCTGAAAATCAAATCCCTCTCCGGGCTTTCAGATGGACGTGTAATTACGCTATAGATACAAGGTCTTGGATAACAAAAGAAAGCGACTCAATCATGAAATAAGCCGAAATTAAATACTTCTGTCGCATTAATTTTTGGACATAATTATACACGGATGTTATCGAATGTTAATTATTAGATCTTATATTTGATATGCGGAAATATATATAATTGTTTGGTATTTGCATGTGGAAACATTGCATTATTTGTATTACTATATGGCTTACTACCAGTAAGTCTGCATGGATCTTGACTAGTACATAATTATTCTAGCACCAATGAAGGCCGGATCAACTTCGTCAAAAGCTTTGCCAAACGGCCGAGGCAAAAAATAAACGTGTCCACAAAACCGACAAAACAATTATGTCTAATTTACGATGGAAACGTAGTACAAGGTCAAGGTCGGATTGTGTTGTGCTATAAAAAGCAAAATGCAATTATTGAAAACAACCACAAATGCGTAGTGATATCGACTATCTTTTCATCTCCAAATTATGGCAGATAGTGTATAATTTCGATCGCATTCGCTCGTTATGACCAAAGCTGGCACTGTAGTCAAATGTTGCAAAATAATGAATTAAATTTAAAGAATATTGGTCATTCCTTTGTCTTTGACCAGCTTGCATACTGAGATAGTTTGTCTGCCAGCAGGCACTCTTGGAAAGATAGTTTAGTTCATTGTTTCCTCGTGGTTGTATAAAGTCATTACTGGACTTTTATGAAGAGGAACGTTTAGAATATTGGTGTGTAAGCTAAAATTTCCTAGCTCCCGTGTTTACTTAATAAAAAGCTTAATTAAGTATTTTATTTTTAATTTTCTATGTTCAGGAAGAGGGCGGGAAAAAATTCAATACCTACACACAGGATATCTGTACTCCCCGTAAACTTGCAATATTTAACAATTATTCGCCGAAGGCGATGTGATTATACCAGTGAATATTCACCGAGACGAAGTCGAGGTGAATATTCACAGTAATCACTGAGCCTGAGGCGAATAATTGTTTTAGTATAAATTTTTAATGAATAAAACAAAATATCCGAATATCAGTTCAATTAAATTTCAGAAATAAAACTGTTTTCGGCAGGTTCACTAATCAAGTGTTCACTAATCAAGTACGCACGCGTTTTCAAAATGGCTTCTTGTGTGACTTAATCTTTATTGCTTTATTACAAAGTCAATGTTTTTCTCGATTTCTGCTTGGAATACAAACACAATAACGCAAAGACTCTTTTACGAGACTTGGCTGAGGAATTTGGTAAAATGAAATGTAAAACTATATCGTTTGAAATAAAGTTTTAAAATAACACTTTTCACTTTACGGTTTCGAAAACACAATACAGCGGTCAGCGCGCTAGAACACCATACAGCACAATGAAAACATGACATATCAAAATAAATAGTATCGTACAAATTGGGAAATATATAGCATACAAAATAAAATGGATTTTAAAGAATATCACGGCAAGGTTTTTCCCAAAAATCGGGATGGTTTTTGCTATTTCTTTGACAAGTGAATGCTTCGGAGTTTTAAATAAGTTTTAAATTCTCCGTGAATATGTTTGACACAGTAAAATAATTAATAAAGGAATCCTACCTTTCAAGTTAAGTACAACAGTTTGTGCTTCTTTCGCTTTCTGGGGACGATCTTTTTCAATATTTTGTCGATTTTGAAACCAAATTTGCCGAATCATTCTTTTTGAAAAGCATTATTTATTAATGCATATACTCTAATTAAGAAAATGTCAGCTGGCAGCTTTTTCTGCAAGCCATTCCACACGGACAGTTTGCGCCTTTTATATCTACCAATTAAATCATTATAATTATTGAATAATTTTGTAAAACTTTGATATTCCTGCAATCATTACTAATGCATGTTGTATTATGCAAAATTAAAAACACTGACAGAATATACGACCCTTCAATTGCTATTGTATTGTACTTACTCAATATACATTAGAATATTGACACAGTTCTATTATAGTGGCCAGTTAATTCTGTTACTATTGCATTTGTTTGTATATTCAGTCATATGAAACATGAATGATTAATATCTAACTCTGTCATTAACATACATAGAACTGTAAGGTCCAGATGCATATTTATAATCTTGAGTAAACTTATTTCGACCACACGTACAAGGGTCTCGTACCTCTATAATTCCCCACTTCTTTGACAACAGAGACAAAACTGTCTGATCATGTCTATTTCCTATGAAGCCCTCAAAATTCGATTTACCCATGACATTTTTGTCATCACTTACGATTCTGCGATCAGCTGAATACGCCAGATATTCCATTGCAAATTGTATCGTTGAACATGATTTCATATATACCATCAGTCCAGAAAGTCTTTGAGTTTGTTTCTTCTGATATACTCGAGGTTCGTCCATTCCCATTAAAATAAACGCGTCCCGTTTGGAATACATACTCTCTTCGTATGGCTGATGGATTGTGAGAACACTGGGCTTCGCCTCCATGCATATTTTAAATAGAGGGCCCATGTCTTTGACAAAATACGATCCTGAGTCGTGGTAAAGAAGTAGATCTCCGTCGTTCAATTTTGTCAATAAGGTTTTGAGTATAATATAGGATTTCCACAACCAATATCCTGCCCCTTTTCGATGCCTCAAGAGGTTTTGATGAGAGATCTGGAAAGGCAGTGATAAATGGGACAAATCTAAAGCTTCAGCATAGTCCACTTTGCCAACATCGATTCCTTGATTGACTGCTCTTTTCTTCGACATCTCACAGCAGTTCTGACCGTACGTCACTAAATATTTCCTTGCTGGTATAGTTCTGGCTGACACGTTATATCTCTGAAGTTTTCGTCGCGTTTCTGCTGAGTCTCCTTGCTGCCATGGATGATTCCAGTGAAAATACGTTTTCGTAAGAACATTTAAATCGACTCTCTCTCGAAATTTCCACCTCGTGTGGTTTGTTTCGTAGGGAAGTTTAATCTTTTCGCCATCCAGCATCGCTCGAGCTATCTCGTACAGTTTAGGGCATTTTCTCTCGTCGTTAGTTGTATCCACATGAAGTCGAGATTCAGGAAAATGATCTGCTTTTCGTGAGTAGGTAGTTGGCTTCTTAGGAAGGCTGTGGCCATGATACGACTTCAGATCAAGAATTTTACATTCAGAGTTATGATATAATACCTTCTTAGAAGTTTCTTTGCTCGATTTCAATTTATGTCGAACGATGAAACATGTCCATAAGGAAATCATTGTAAGAAATGTAAATTTCCAAAGCTTTGCACGCCTAAACCTCATTGTGTACAATGTACTGACCACAAATTCTGGTCGCCGCTCTTCTTTGGTAGCTGATCATTCAGCTCTGTTTTTTTAATTACTGAAGTTTAGCAACTACAGGGTGTCCCCAAAACTATTGAAATAACATATTGTTAGAATTTGAATGCCCTAGCACCATGCTGATCGGAAACTGTAAGATATCGACAGGTTGCATATTGCAATTTTCATTAAAGCTTGGACTCAAAAAGTTTTATTGATGTTCAAACGTGTATATTACGACCGCGAAACTTTAACGTTTCTATATGTGGTACGTCATATTATATATATATATATATATATATATATATATATATATATATATATATATATATATATATATATATATATATATATATATATATATATATATAGCCTACATTTAAAATTCTAGACTTGTCTGTTAGCAGATAAAACCACTTCCTTGACCTTGCCAAATGTGAAAAAAGCAAGGGGTCAATCCAGACTTCAGGGATTATAACTTTACATCTAGCAATTTGATATCTACCAATTTGCCGAAATGAATCGTGGCTCATGAATGAATAGTACAATATCATTTTATAATTTATAAGTATAATAGAATTCCTTGCTTTATTTGCATTTTGCAAGCATCCAAGTTCGGCCCATCAAATAACTTGAATAATACAAAGAACAAGTGTTTCAAAATGGCTTAACATTAATGACTAACTTATTATAACTTAAGAAATGTATGTTTAAAGATTTATATATATATGTGTATATATATATATATATATATATATATATATATATATATATATATATATATATATATATATATATATATATATATATATATATATATATATATATATGTTCTCGAGTGAGTATTTCATAATTTCCAGACCGCGCGCAAGCAGAAAGATATTGCCTGACGCGGCTGGGTTTTGAACCCGCGACCTTCGAATTATGTACTAGATCGACGCTCTACCAACTGCATGAGCTACACGGTCAGACGGATTTAAGACTGGAAATTATGAACTATATATACTGAATGTCATAAACATACTCGTTCATATTAATTCAGCATCGAACAATACTACTTCTGCAGGTGTTATGTTATGTTGTGTTATTGTTCACTCCCCAATATGACTAGGAGTTACTATCGCAAGGAAAGTGCTGCCTCGCCCCCAAGGGATCAAAGGCAGCATGCAGAATTTGCTGAATAAGGAGCTGTTTATATGATCCTGCTTTGCCAGGACGAGTTGTGGGGCGGGATCATTTTGATGTATTGAAATAAATTATGGTACACAATTCAGCAAAAAACTAGTTAAAGATGCGGTACAGTCTGATCTGCGCATGTGCACAAAGGAGCGCTCTTTTTATTATGCGAACAGTTTAATTAGGTTTTTATTTCATTTTTTGTTATTGCAAAGCTTGATTGTTGTGTCTTGATAATTTATTATACTCTAGAATCATGAAAATATCAATAGTTGTCGAATAAAATTCAATATTTTGGATACCGAACTGTAAACAAAGACTTTGTTTACATACGGACTGTACCGCATCTTTAACTGTAAACTAAAGGTTGTTCAAGCAGCAAAAATAATCTCCTTGAACTACAACATTAGAATTCTGTTTAATTAACCAACATTTGAACTTTCATTTAGCCTAGTGACTTATTTCAAAACATCAAAATCACCTCACCTTCCAATGTGTAACCAACCCCTTGCTTTTGTATGTATAATTATAATACTGTCGTTGGCAAAGCTAGCCATAGCAACGGTCGTTGCTGCATTATTCAAATGATGCAGGTTTATTAGGACCGCAGTTTTTGCCCCAATTATCTTTTACATGACACCTTCAAGGCTATCCCTATCGCAAAACACCGAACAATCTGATGCCGGAGAGACAAATTCTATTTGTTGACATTTTTTTTATCGACCAGCGACATTTTGACGATTTACAACTCAATTGTTTATAACGTAAATATCTCAGCGCGTATTCACCCCCCTTTAAAACAAAGAATACCATTGAAATCCTAATAAAATAACCTTTTCAACGGGGGGTCGAATGCCGTCAAAGCATCACACAAACCGAAACAATCATATATTTACTCACCGCTTGACCAAACATTCGGAATTTTGTTTCCACAATAGCG